TCTTAATTTCATGATAAAGGAGCTATTAATTAAACGCACGAAAATGCCGATTTCAACCACTGTGCAACGGTGTTGGTTGCTGTCTCCTACAATTTGCGGAAAAGTGTCGAATACCTTAAAATATGGTTATTTTCAGAATGGGGATGAGACGTAGATGCCGAAAATTGATGTCACACCGTCTTTAAATCCAAGACGGCGGCTTTGGTTCAGAGAAACTGTGAAATACTGTCAAATACCGATCAATGTGGGTTTTTTGGAATCAGGGTTACATCTAGAAGTCAGAAATCGATGTTCGACGCCATCTTGAAATTCAAGATGGTGGCTTCCGATTTCAGAAGAAGTGTCAAATGACCTGCAAATGGTATCGAATATCGATTTTCAGCATCTACGCGTTGACACTTTTTTTGAAACCTGATGACCGCCATATCGGATTCCAAAATGGCATCGGATATCGATTTTCGGCATCTATACGTTATCCTCGTTCCGAAAATTCCCATATTATAGGGTATTTGACGCTTTCTAAACCCTGATGGCCGCTATATTGGATTCCAAAATGGTATCTGATACCGATTTTCGGCATCTACACGTTGTCTCCGTTTCGAGAATAACCATATTGTAGGGTACTTGACACTTTTTCTGAACCCGATGGCCACCATATTGGCGTCCAACATAGCGGCTGTGATTACAGTAAACACCTAAAAAATGCGGATAATACGGAAAATGTAAATGGAAACCGCGTAAACTGTGACCATACTACGTGGGATTTGACTTAATTGATTACAACATGGAATATATCGAGATCCTGACCAGATAGAAAGTTACTGTCTACGACAAAGTTGTTCAGGAGATCATAGCCTTGTTGCTGGTGGATGAAAGTTCAGAATTTTCTCACTACGTAGCGCTAGTATACATGTGAAATTCTTGCATGTAATATATCTCGAGATCCTGACCAGATAGAAAGTTATTGTCTTCCACAAAGTTTTTCAGGAGGTCAAAGCCTATTGCTTGGTTCTCAATAGTTCAGAATTTGTTCACTACGCGAGGCTAGTATACACGTGAAATTCTCATATAAAATATCTAGAGTTCCCGACCAGATAGAAAGGTACTGTCTTCGGCATAGTTGTTCAGGAGGTCAAGTCCTTTTCGCAGGTTGATAGTTGTTCAGAGTTTTCTCACTTCGCGGCGCTACTATACATGTGAAATTCTCGCATATAAAATATCTCTAGTTCCTGACCAGATATAAAGTAAATATCCGGCAAAGTTTTTCAGGAAGTCAGGATCTTTTTGTTGGGTGACAATAGTTCAGAATTTTCTCACTATGCGGCGCTAGTATATACGTGCCTTTCACGCATATTCAGCTTGAGATCTTGATCGGCTAGAAAGTTGCTGTCTTCGGCAAAGTTGTTTAGGGGGTCAAGACTTTTTGGCTGGTAGACAGTAGTTAAGAATTTTCTCACCACGTGGCAAGTTTTTCGCTGAGATCCAGCAAAATAAAATACCGATCTGCTCGGTGGTGCCCATCTTGGTAAAACATTCTAAGGGTGTAGGTACACCCAAAGTCATAAACAAAAGGTCTTATAATATGAAATTATCATCTCTTTCATTATACCGCTATGCTAGCCCCCATTAGCCATTAGTTGGAGTTTCGGACGTGACGACTATACACAAGAATTGATCAAGAATCACGCTAGTTGTTTATTCCACTCATATTTTATATCTTACATTCTAGTACTTCAGCTACACTTCAAGAGAATGCTTACGCCTAGCTTATCGTACGATTCTCTTTTTCTCTCTACACATGCTCTGTCATACATTCTTACGTGAGCATGAGTGACCGTCGTAGCTTACGTTCTTATGACCTAGTTGTGGGCTTCTGGTATGGTGGCATAAATAAGTAAGTTTACTGGTAAGCACATTGTGTGCTTGGAAGTAGGTTTTGGAAACGATGACCAAACATTGTTGTTTAAAGTTAAGCATAAAGGAATGTAGGAAATGGAAGTTTAAAGGTACACCACACCGCTATTCCTACGCTGCTAGGAGTGTAACGTCGAATTTATGGTTACATACACATTATTCTAAATCTAAACGAGAAGAATCTACTCAGTTCGTCTAAGATGTGTGATGTAATGTACAATGTATAAAATATATATACACGAATTAGCCAGTCGAGCCATAGGACTATCTCAGTCATGAGATTGCTTTACTCAGTTGTCTGGAGAAATTTCCAAAAGCGTAGTTTACTCAGCGCTGAGTAACCTACACTCCGATCATAAGCTTAAATACACCCCAAAATACATGGAAATGTGTTTTGTTCAAAGAATAAGGGTTCTACTACTACTTTTAATTCAAATATATATTTTTTCAGCTCAATTCTGAGAAAATCAATCATGATTCTTCAGAGAACATTTCGAAAAATAGTGTAACTTTGGGTGAACCTTTGGTATACAAAATTTGAAAATTATATTCAGCAATTTGCCTCTTCGTATTTCCATTCAAAATCTTTCAAATGTTCTAAAAATAACGTATATTGGACGTAAAATGACAAAGATATGAACATAACACATTTGCATGTTTTTTGGGGGTGTCCTTAAACTTATAATCGGGGGTGTACGGTTTTATAAATTTCTCCATTCAACTGAGCAAAAGTGCCTCACTCTCGGAGTTAGTCTCGTTGTCCGTGTCCGTGCACACGTAAATACAGGGACTTTTTTTTTTGTTCTAGACCCCTCGATAAGACATTTTGAAATTAGCCTAAAATGAAAGGGAGACTCTAAACATTAATTTTGTGGAAGTTTCAGCGATATTGATCTTTAGGATAATGTTTTCCATCTGAGATACGTGTTACCACTAATTTATCAGAGGTATACAAGTGGAACGACTCACCCCAAGAATATATTTGTCTTATCCCACTAAGGCTGATGTAAATTGTATTTTCATTTTGTGATATTTGATATGCGAAAATAGCCCGCCAAATTTTGAGAAATTTCTGAACTAATTTTCATCAGCCAAAAGATCTCTATCTCATAAACAGCTTTGCTAAGAACAGTCAATTTCCAGCTATTCAGGATGTCGAGATATTATATATGCGAAGATTTCACTGATGTACTGTCCATCAATTAAAAAGTTTTGATCTCCAGGACAACTTTGCCGATGACAGTTTAGCAGGTCTCAAAATGTATCTAATGCGAGAATTGCACGTGTATACAAGCGCAATGATGTGAAAAAATGAATTTCTGTCCACTAGCCAAAAGGCCTTGGCCCTCAGAACAACTTTGCCCAGGACAGTAACATTCTATTTGGTCAGGATCTCGTGATATTTCATATGTAAAAATTTCACGCCTTTGACCTCCTGAACAACTTTGTCGAAGACAGTAACTTTCTATCTGCTCAGGATCTCGAGCTATTGTATATACGAGAATTGCATGTGTATACTAGCACCGCGTAGTGAGAAAACTCTGAACAACTGTCCACCAACAAAAAGATCTTGACTTCCTGAACAACTTTGCCAAAGACATTTACTCTCCATCTCGTCAGGATCTAGTGATGTATCACTTGCGAGAAATTAACATGTATAAGAGCGCTACCTAGTGAGAAGATTCTGAATTACTATTCACCAGCGAAAAGTTTATGATCTTCTGAACAGCTTTGCCGAAGACAGTAACATTCTATCTGGTCAGGGTCTCGAGATATTAAATAAGAGAATTTCACGTGTGTACTAGGGCCGCGTAGTGAGAAAGTTCTAAACTAATGTCCACCAGCTAAAAAGTCTTGACCTCCTGAACAAGTTTGCCGAAGACAGTAACTTTCTATCTGCTCAGGATCTGGAACTATTGTATATGCGAAAATTGCACGTATATACTAGCACCACGTAGTGAGAATTTTTGGAACTAATCTCCACCAGAAAAAAGGTTATGATCTCTAGAACAACTGTGCCGAAGACAGTAACTTTCTATCTGGTCAGGATCTCGAGATTTTCTATGTTGTATCCAATTAAGTCGAATCCCACATAGTACGGACACCGTTTACGCGGTTTCCATTCACATTTTCAAGTTTTTGAAGGAATACCCGTTTGTTTCATATCGATTGGTAGTTCGGCTGCAAAATGGCAATGGAAAACTCACACTGTTGTACAAAGTACAACAACGCGAGTACTCGTGTTACAAAAGTTGGCGCGAGTAACGGAGGGTTAAAAGTTGTCCTAGCTATGTGTTTATTTATTCCCTGAGAGTTTTAAAAATATCCGACCTAAAATGAATTTTTGGTGATCATTTTTGTCTGTTGCATTTTTTTTTTCGAGTACAGTCTTTAGTTGGCTAGATCTACACTCATAAAATAAATCACATAACCAGTGGAAAATATCCATGTGAATTTCACATAACTTTCATGTGATCCCATAGTTGGAAATTGCACCACTAAATTACATGAACTTTATGTGTCCAATGAAATCTATATGATTTCTCATATAGAATTTCTTATGCTTTGCGATATTCAGATAAAAACAATTATTTTTTTTATTGGGAAAAAAAATTATGTGCGTTCCTAATAGAACCTAAGTGAAAACTTTTTTCAGTGTACTTTTCAGTGGTTTAAATTACGCTTTTGGTGGGAAAAAAAAATAACTTGCATTGTTTTTTGCCCCCTGATTTTTTAGTCATTTTTGAAGGTTGGGGAGACGAACACTTCGAAATAAATTTGCAACGTCCTTATATTTATTAGAACTAAAGTGGATGACACTTGCATCGCCCCTCTATTTGTCCTCAAAGAAGCGCCAGTTTTCAAATTATGTCAAACAATAACCATCGTGCGCTGCTTTCAGTTCCTTCCCCTCATCCACCTGTTTGTCCCTTTTCCATAATCAAAGTTTCCTTCCTTCCAAGAAGTGGGTCATTTAATTACTCCCAGTGGATGGCCAGACATAAAAAAAAATCCCGCAAACCAACGACCGGGAAACAATTTTTCATTTTCCAATCCACTTTCTTCCTTCTGTCGCCATTTTCCAGTCCAATGACGCTAGGACATCACCAAAGGACCATCTGCTGAACGCCGGCAGCCGAAATAATAGAGATTACAGCAACTGCCTCGATAGCATCAGTGACCAGACCACGTTCCAGCACTCGGCCAGCTCCGTCGAGAGCCTTCCCAGTGCATCGGGATCAAGTGAGTTTCCGATTTTCGATTGCCGGTTTTTTCCCCGTTCGAATTATGGTGGTACAATGTAAATCCGATTTTTTTTTGTCTGTTCTGCTGTTTCCTTCGTGTAGGCACACAAGCCCTGGTCCGGCCGGGCAGTCCGCACAGTTCGCTCTCGGCGGAAGACCGAACCACGATGGTTCCCATTTGCCGGGCGATAGCCCTAATTGACAGTAATCCGAACCCGTACGATAAGGAAGCTTTAAGGTTTAAGGTAAGGTCGAGGGAATTGATTTTGACTTTGGGTGAAATTGCTAAAATTGTCCTTAATCTATCCGCAAACAGAAAGGCGACATCATCGATGTCCTATCGATGAATGCATCCGGTGTGTGGCGAGGCTACGCGAACGGCCGGTTAGGACATTTCAAATTCATCAGCGTGGAAGTGCTGCCCGATCTTCCGGTACAACCGTACAGCACCGGGAAGCTAATCAGCCGGAATAGACTGCCGACGAGTTGTCCCACCAGCGTGGAAGAGCTGCTGCTGCGGATAGGTCTGAAGGAGTACACTTCCGTGTTTGTGCTTAATGGGTAAACGAGTGAAGGTTTTTTTTTTTAAATTCTTAATTTAAGTTTATGAATTTTATTCCTCTTTCCTAGTTACGAAGATTTGGAGTTATTCAAAGAGCTGGAACCGTCCGATCTAGACTACCTTGGAATTGGAAATACGGAGCATCGTGCCAAAATACTAGCGGCAGTGCAACTGTTGCATGACCTCGATTGTGAGTATCTCTTCCACCACAGTGTGTGAAGTACGATGCGTCTCCATGAAACGGACGGGTTTTTCACCGAACCCCATTTTCTCTTTCTTTTTTTTTCTTCCACCCACCAGCAACGTCGGACGGTGAAGTGGCCGGTTCGAGTTCGGAGAACGACGAGGGCCTTCGGTTGGGTCACATCAAGGGCCAACAGAACCACCACCATCAGACGTCTCCTTTTGGTCGGCGGCACTTCCCTCGCGATTCGGGCTGTTACGAGGGATCCCCGGTGCCAACTTCACAGCAAAATCACCACCACCTGCACAGTCACACCAACAGCAACAGCAACAGCAGCAGCAGTAACCAAGGTGGCCAGAACAGCTCATCGGATAACGACACGAACAACCTGGATTCGGTGGTGGCACAGTGCTCGAACGAGATTCTGAAACGGGTCGAAGGCGCGAGGCGGTTCAAGACGACGGACAGTGGGAACGGTGGGGTGAAGACGATGAACCGGGCAACGAAGAAGGGTGGACTGTTGGGGGGAGGAGGAAACGGTGGAAGCGTCGTCGGCGGGGATGATATGACGATAAGGAGCAGTGGCGGAAGTGGAGGGGGTGGCGCGTTGAGTGAGAAGTCAAGTGATTCAGGGGTGAGCAGCAGCAGTTTGTCCTCGGGACCGATCAAGAACAACCTTTAGCGGAGTTTACTGCTGGCGGGCGATGGATGAGTGGGTGCGTGGAGAAGGTTCGGCGAGGATGAAGAGCTGGAGTTGGAGGAAGAGGAAGCGGAGGTGGAGGAGCAGGAGCAATAGTAGAAGGAGGCCTATCGGTAGGTAGCACGGGGGCTAGATTTTAAGGCATTTTTTTTTATCTATTAAGCACACTGCCAAATAATGTGACGAAAAGAAATAGATTTACGGCTTTGATTTGATTGCATTTGTGTTGGGGATCGATTGTTGATTTTTTTTGGGATACTCCTGGCGATTGTTGAGTTTTGAACTTTTCCTTCCGTTTTCCCTGAAGGATTTGTGGATTGAACATAAACTAGAAATCATGCGGATCTACTCACTTTTCCAAAGAAGAAAAGATATGTGTAGTTAATTATCGAAGGACCTTCAATGTTTCGAGCTCGGAGGATACAGACAATCTTTTAGAAGTCGATTTAGAATGAGGTATCTGCACGGTAAGAAAAAAGTACTCAAAAGTAAGTTCTTTTCACTCATCTCGGCACTATAGTACAGGAACCCAAAAGTAGGAAAGTGGATCAAAGTACCGTATGCGTGATAATGTTTGCACCATCGTACAAATAAGGTTTCCGTTTCACCTGTGCATACAATGACTTGGTTTTCTTTGCATGCACGTAACCTATAGCTCATACCGTAGTAGGCTGTGTATAAAAGAAAATGATTTACTTAGTTTGACAGTTGCACCATGACGAAGTGGCAGCGTATACGTGATTTGTCCCACGCGCAAATGTCGCAAAAAGGCATTTCAATCAAAAGCCGTGGGAGTGTCCCGGTGGACCGTCAAAAGGGTTTTAGACTGAGAAAAGAAAGGACAACTATCCGCGAAGGTGGCCACAGGTCGTCCGAGATCAGCTCGGGTTCCGAGGGTTATCGCTGCTATCAAAAGGAAGATTCGGGTGAATCCAGTGCGTTCAATAAGAAAAATGGCAAAGGAACACGAAATCAGTGACTTTACGGCACGGAAGATCGTAAAGGAAGATTGCGGGGCGAAGTCGAGGGCACGGAAAAAAAACTCACATGATTACCAACCGCATCCGAGAGCTACGAGTCGAACGACCCGAGCAAAGCTGAAGATCAAATTGAAATCAAAACTTGCTGTTATGATGTAACTTATTTTGAATACTCCAGTTGATCTCATTTTGGTTGACTTAACGGTTAACACAGCAAAAATGAGAGCAACATTTTACACTGTTGAAGCAAACGGAAAACTAATCCTGCTTTCAATGAAATCAATTTGATTACTGATTTTGAATTCATAATGTTTAACTGAATACGGGCCTGGAGTAAATGGTTACAGTTCATGTTTCTCAAGCTGAAAGACTTGGGCTCCAATCTCACCCCGGGCAAGTCACGAATGACCTAAAATGTGTCAAACAAATCAAATAAACAATAATCATAAGTTCAATGACAGATGAATTTCAATTAAATTTTAAACAAGACGTAAACAGCAGAACTTCAAGTTAAGTTGCTTTCATTTAAAAAGTCTTGACTGCATAATGAAAGCACAATATGATATCAGATTTATGTCGCAACATTTGAAATCAAAATGAGTTTTCATTATGATAGGAACTGCACACTTTTATATCGATTTGCTTTCATTTTGTTAACCGACTTTGCTCGGGTACCTGTGCAAAGCTGTAGATCAAATTGAAATCAAACTTTGCTGTTATGATGGGATCGCAGTAGGCCGCGCTTGAAAGCTGACGTGTTTTTCTTTTGCTGCGTATTTTTCGTCAGCGAATATTTTTTTGCTTTAAATTTGTTAATTTGTGGGCTGAAATTTAGTTTCAAGTGTTCATAAAGTTATCATTTAGTGATATATCGTGTTTTGCCTGTGTTTGCCTTGAGTGACTCGGTTGACATTGAATCTAACCTCCAAAATCTAGGACGCAGCTTCAGTTTCATTGTTCGGTATTGAAAATTGCCTCATGTGAGCCCGGTTCTCCGAGTTCCGATGCCACATTGTCGACGTTTAGTTCTGTTTTATTGAGAGATTCGTCACCGTGGGCGAGTTTGAACCCGGTCCGGCTGGTGAGTTAGCCAGGGAACGTTCTGATAATGTGTCCGTCGTGTGTTTTGGTGGTGAGTCGGTGGCTGACGTTGCAACAGTACTCGGCTGCTGGTCTCTCGCCGGTTTTGGAGATTGCGAGCAATATGAAAGATGTCTCGCTGGATACGCCCAAGACTGGACGGGTGGTAGCTGATGGTCGCGAAAGGTTCCTGGGGAAAGCACTAGACGTGAACCTCCTCCCAGATGACCATGGCAATGTAAGACAATTTGTGTTCGTTGATGTAACTGTTACGACAAAGGTGAATCACGAAATAAGATGCAAAACGTAGAGAAAACTACGGAATCCATGAATTGGAGGATCAAATTAACATGGTGAGACCAGTCCAAATACTTTTTACAATAAAAAAAAAACATAAACTAAATACGTGTCAGGATTAAAAAGAACATTTTGAAACTGGAACTGTGTGTGTAATACTAATATCAAATTGACAGAGGTAATACATACATGCGTGGTTTATCGTAAGTGAAAGTAACCTCGGAATGGGCGTGACTCTCCAGACATTCTGAAATGGGTTGCTGGATCTGCAATAGAGCTATCACCGTCTAACTTCCGGACTCAAGCTGTCTACAATAATCATAAATGCGACATTGTAGAGAGAGTTCTTCCATAATAACACTGCCGGCCAGTGGGGGTTATTTGGAATACACACACCAACTTTGCTGTTATAATGGGACTTATTTTGAATACAACAGTTGATCTCATTTTGGTTGACTTAACGGTTAACACAGCAATAATGAGAGGAAACTTTTGCACTGTTGAATCAAACGGAAAACTAATCCTGCTTTCCATGAAATCAATTTGATTACTGATTTTGCATTCATAATAGTTAACTGAATACGACTGTAAACATTGGAACAAATATTTTAATTTTGTCCGACGTTTCGATGCCGGCTAGCATCCAATTCATCAAGTAGTATTTTAAAATAAATCTGTATTTGGTTACATTATCAGGGCAGGTAGCGATCAATGCTGTCCAATATAGTGATGTTAGTGACCATGTTGACGAAATAACTAACCAAATAGTCACTTATGGTTGTAAAAACAGTGACTAAAAAGTGACCTAAGGGAAAAAAAATAGTCTTTCTGTTGGCCTTCCAAATAAATGTTTGATGTTTTAGACTTATTCAATTAGAATTTTTAATTAACACTTAAATATGTACGATAGGAACCTTTAAAGCGAAAGATTCAATAGAAAGTTTATTATTAAACCTCAAAGTGTCTACTACCTGTATAAAACCGGGAACTCTCAGGAAATTTTATTTATCGTGAAAAAAAAAACCTAGAAGTCTTAGGCAATTTTATCATTACACAGGAAATTTAATATTTTTGTTACTAGGGATATTCCAAAGAAAAGAATGCGTTTTAAAATAAAAACATTCAATATTCCTAGTTATTTTCATTCACACATTTGAAATCGGAGCATAAGTCCTCGAATTTTTTGGTGGTAAATACTTAGGTGGTGAAGGGGATGCTAAAAGGAGGATTACAATTAAATCTGAGAATAACTCCAGGAGATCTTCAAAGAAATTCGGAAAATAAGTCCAGGAGTGATTGCCAAACAAATTAAGGAGAGAAATCCAAGGAAGTTGTGAGGAGACATGAAAATGAATCAATGTGAGTAGAATTCCAAGGGAAGAAGTGAGATGAAAAAAGAAATATGAAATGAATTCAATAAAAATTCTGAGAATCTTTCCATAGGATGTCTTACTGAGGAGAATTTCAAGGCAAGTCCTCATCAAATTAAAAGAAAATTTGATTAGGAGGGTAGTTGCGAGAAGTTTTTCTAACAATATTCTTGTGATATTTTTTAGAGAATTCAGAGAAGCGTTCCAAGTGAGTTTCTGAAATAATTCCATGAGAGTTTCGGGAGAATACGAGCGAATGATGAGGAGCACTCCAAGCGAATTTTCATAAGAAATCTCCGCCTTCAGCACAACTTGAAAGTTACCAAAATATTCCTGAAGTTTATGAAATTGCCTTGAAGTTCTTTTTTTTTAGTTTGAGAAACTAGCCAGATGCTCACAATACTTCTCATCATTGTTCTTAACTTCTCTAAATTTTTTCGGACTTACTAAAGTTTCACAATCTCCCTAACGATCATGAATCTTCTCTAAAAATTTTACAATTCACTTAACTTTTTAAAAATTTATGTAACTTCGCTGCTCTGGAATATCTCTGCTCTGAGGATATCTGATCTCTCTTGAAGTTTTTTTTAAAGCTTTTTAGGAGATCAATATTTTTTTTGAAGTTCTCGAAACTTTTCTAAAGTGTTTGCATTTCTCATTAAGCTTGTTGTACTACCCTGAATTTAGTTCAACTCTGAACTTCTGGACTTATGTGAAAACCACAATAATTTTCTTAACATCTCTTCTTAAGTTCTCTGAAAATCTGGGAATTTCTTGAAATTTTCCACTAATTTAGTGAAACTAATGGAACTTGTTTTTGAAGCTTAATTGATTGCTTAATTAATAATTGAAAGTCTTAATTGTTCAAATGACCCGGTAAATTTTCTGATATATATATTTTTAATTCCCTGAATCTTCTAAAGTTTTCAGATCAATTATAGAATTCTCGGAATATCCCATAATTCCAAGGAACTCCTTGTAAGTCGCTGCAAATCACTGTGATGTTATCTGATCGTCCTCGAAGTACTCGGAACTTTACTGAATATAACGACACAAAGTCTAAAACATCTACATTTCACAGAAGTTCATTGGATTTTCTTGAAAATATCGGTGCTTGCTAAAATTTCTCACTTTTTTTTAATTAATGGAACTTCGTTGATGTTCTCTAATCAACTTAGTTAAATTTTCGAAATTTTTTAGATCTTGGAATTTCCATGATATAGCACCCTTGAAATACCCCGTTCCAGAAATTTTCTCTGAGCAAACCGAAGTTTCCGGAAATTCCCGGAAATTTTCTTGATACTTTTTTAAGGTTTCTGCAATTTCCTTGAATTTTTTTAGCTGTCCTTTAATGTCTTGATGTTCTCGGAGCTTATCTAAAGCTCACAATTCTAATGAAGATCTCGGTTCTGCTATGGTAAAATAAATGGAATTCTCGTGAACACCGTTAAACTTTCCTGGAATTCTCTGGATTTCTGTGAAGTTCCTGAAATATTTCTGAAGTTTTCAT